AATTATTTTTTTTGCAAGAGAATATTTTTACCAATTGAATTTTCAATATTTTTTAATATTTTACTCGCATCTACTTTTTGTTACTATAATAATTAAACAAAAATTTAATATCAACGTACATCAAAATATGACTTATTAATATTATGCTTCTATAAGCACTTTGGAATATATTAATTGAAATTTTTTTGTAATAATAAATTTTATTAAAACATAAATTCATTTTGAATGAATAATCAAGTTAACAAAATCAAATGATAATGCATTAATAATTAGTTTAATTTCATCCTTAACTTTCGTACCTATTAAATACCTATTAAATAAATGACATTAATTAGATCAATTTAAGATAGTTTCATATTAATATGTATAGGATCGTTAACGGAATTATCGCATAATAACAATCATCATATTAAAATTCCTTCTGCAGATTAATTATAAATTACTTGTTTGTGAATTATTTTTACGTGAATTAAAACTGCAATAAAAAATAAAAGAAAAGGTAGTATTTATAATCTAGCAACGTATATTTATTCTGGAAAATTAAAATTCTTTCAGAAGATAATAACCATTTTAATAATTCATTAAATTATATTGTGAAGTTCAGAAGTTTTTTAAAAATCTTTTCTATAAAACTCGATTCAAAATTGACATTATGTAAAATCTAATAAGTTTTTGTACATTAATGTTTTTTAGCATTATTCTATTACGATATTTTACATTCTCTAGGAGAAGAATATAAAATGTCCAATGATATATATGATATACAATAGCTTTAATTTGATAACCTGGAAAGTTTCCTAAATTCAATCGAATCAGATAAAATTTTTATTTAATATTTAATACCTGGGAAATGCTTGCCCTGTAAGAGATAACTCTTACATAAGTTATAAAACTTGAAACAATCGAGTCATTAAAAAAACTTTGCTACTAATGCCCATAGACATTTTTGAAAAGTAGTTCAAATATTTTAAAATTATAATATATATTAGTTTCACTGATAATTATAGAATTAAATGTGAATATACACGATATTTGAATATTCCAATAGAAAAATTATTGTTCGTATATTCATTAAAAGTATTAGTAATTAAACATTATTAGTAATTCATATATTGAATTCTTACATTATTGACATATACATCATTATATTCAAATATATTATTATTACAATATATTACATTAATAATAATTTAAAAATTAAATCCTTACTTAGCGTGATCAGCTTTCAAATGTCTTCAATTTATTTCCAATCTACGAATAATCATTCTGTAATACTGTTCTACGATATAATAAATGCACTATATTTATTTATCCCGTACGTATTGATTTGAGCACAAATTTATTTGAAATATTATTGTAATGCATCTTATTTATATATCTTTAAATTTCACTCTACTAGAAAACTTTCGTAGCACTCGTATAAAATCGATTTTTATATCATGTAAACTTATCTTTCTTAATGCATTAAGTTAACAGTTTTATAAAAAGCAATTATTGACTTATTACATTTATATGCAAATAACGTAAAATAATCATTAAACAATGTAGATTACAACGACATGATCTTTACAGTGAGAAAAAATTGTAGAACATTAAACATGAATGACGCTTAATAAATCAGTGAGCTATTAAAAATATTTATTATATTTCTCAACTTTTTTATGACACGCAACGAATAATAAAAAAAAAAAAACGATGATTTTAAAATATTATAATAAAACTTCTACTCTTCGACATTTGAAATCAGTTTCCCCAAATGCGACGCTCCTATATATAAAACTACAAATCCATTACATCTACGCAAACGTACTACCATAATGCATAATGCCACCATTCAATGCCATCCAAAAGTATATCATACGTGCATGAAATGTGAAAAGACGAGTCATTTTATCCTTGCCAACAAAATCCATCAGAATTCTACGTTTTCGTGGAAGAAAAGCCTGATGGTTTCCCAAGATCAGACACTCTGGCGCAAAGCGCACCCCCACGTATCCACCTGCGGTACACATCGCACATATAAACAGCTATTCAATGTTCCGGATATGTACGTCTCACGAGGACAGAGACTTTCTTATATATAAGTATTTTGAGCTCTTGTGTTGCGATATGTACTGTGGTACGCGGGGGCGGGGGGGGGTGCAATCGTACCGGCTTATATGTGGCGAGTTAAATTTTGAAAAAATTCCAATATCATTACAAAAATTATTTCCAATTGTTAAAATCTCAAATCTACAAATATATATAATTTTTAAATTGGCTGTATTTAATATATTCTGCTTGGTAATATACAATGATTCCACTTTAAAATGTATTATTTGCTATGAATATAATGCAATGAACTTGATAACTTATGTATAGAATGTTATCGTGATGTAATACTAATAAAAGTCTAGAGTATTATGATCGAGATATCGAAGTCATTATTTTTAATTCGTATTAAAAATAGCTGGTGCACGGCTGATAAAGGACAGGTCTATTTTTTTTTTTTTATGTGATAATAATTAGAGCGCTATGAAAAATGTATAAACATAAAATATGTATTTGAAACATGTATTTGAAAGTATTTTTTGATGTTGGTGAAAATAAATAGTCGAGAAAAGATATTTTAACATATTCAAAGAGAAACATTTTTTCAAACGCATTTTAAAGTTAACCTTGCCGTTACAACACATTGTTTTATGCTTATAAATAAAATATTTTAAATATACTATATATATATATATATATATATATTATATTTGATAACAATAATAATAATAGTAATAATAGTAAAAGATAAATGATTTTTATTTAATTCTTAAATATAAAATATAACTACCAATGCATTATTTCCGTTGCAATTTTACATGTTAAACTTCATAGAAAACTTCAAATGACTAAACTAATAAAGTGGTTTATTAATTAATTAAAATTATCATCAATGATAATTTCAATCGATAAAAACAATTGCTCTATTACTTATTAAAGCATATTATACAAGGGTTTAATTAATAGAAAAATGTTATTTTTCAAACGATAAAGGAAAAATTTGCCCTCAGCACATATTCGAGATTATATATTCATCGGTTGCACATGGAAGAAGTGGCAACCATCTAAATCTCAAGAGCTCATCTAATCATTCATCAAAAAGTTACACGATTAAGCTCTGTCCACCTCGGTTCTCTGATCTACTCGAGAATTCGATCTAATGTCCTGGTAATCCTTCACTGCAAAATCTCCGCGCGGACTCCCTTCGTCCGGCGCTATCACAGAGCAAAGGGGGGGAGTCAGAAACGATCACTGGGGCTTCCGCATCCGATGATTTTTTTTTTCTTCGAACGGTGTTCGAGATCAAGTTGCTCTAGCACGGTGGGCTATATTAATGATCTCGAGCGCGTGCACTGATTATCCGAAGGCGTACCACTCCCACTTATTCGGAAAAGCCTGGATGAGTCGCGTCGCGGTACCTTCCGTCTTCTTCGACCGAATCGACTTTCGGTCGGGAAGGGGTGAGAGAAGAAATTGATTGCATCCACGTTGAGCTCACTTCCAAGCGAGACGTCTCGCAAAGAAAGAGGATGTCGAATTATCCTTTTTTCTCGGGTGGGGGAGGGGGTATAGTTTTTTTTTTCTCTTCGCTTTTACGGGAAAAAGGAAATGGAGGTTGAAAAGAACGAAATGAGGGAGAAAATGCTGTCGCTGAAACGGAGAAGTTTGTTTCTATTGGATTGTTAAATACTAACACCAACTTTACTTCACCTGTATTAAATAAATTTACGATTGTTTTGTAAACTTCCTTTACTTCAATAAAATTTCTTTACTAATTTGTATTTAATTTAATCTATACTTGTTCACTAAAAGGTCTAGATAATAATAATATTTTATTCGTCAATAGTATAATAAATTACTTATTATATAAGAAACAAATGTTTAATAGTCTTATATTGTCTATATGGTATTCAATTTCAATAACAAAAGTATTATTCTTCTTTTTTATTTAAAATTAACTTTTTTTTATCATTGAAAATTTTTAGCACAATTAAATACTAACTTTGACATTTATATATTTTCCATAATATAGGCAACTCTATATTTTATAATTGGCTAAATACCTTATTTAACAATAATTTTTATTTTTAATCTTGGATATTAATGCTCTTTCCTGCCAATGTACATTTGCTTATAATTGAAAGGAATTGTTACTGAAAATTTTATCCTTTATTATTATCACAGTAATGAGTATGAAGCACCGATCTCATGAAATTCCATTTAGTCGATTAATTCTATATAACGATCTATTTGTTTGTGAAATTAAATGTGAATTTAATTTATAACAACAAGAAAAAAAAATCAATGATTCACGTATCACCTTTATCGCTCTACTAAAATTAAACGGATCTTACTAAAACTAATATTTATTTTTTTCATATTGCCAATAATAACTAATAATGGCTCGCCTGTGAATGACAATTCAACGGCAGATCTTTGTTTTGAGAAAATGGCGCCCCTTAATGAATCAATTTATAACTTAAATGCAAAAATATTAACAGAATGGAAAAACATTTTCGGGAGAAAAAAATATGTGTACTGCATCATGTAACGACTCAAATTTGTCTAGCCTATATATCAAAATTTATAACGTTTAAAATATTTCAACGGGATCTAGCACATTTTGAGCAAACATTTGAGAATATTTGTTTGGACGAGTGTTGGAATTTTCACTTCCCATGCACCAATTATTATTACACTTTAACTTAAAAAAATAAACGGGATAAAATTCAATTTAATCGCAGTAATTTCATCGCTTTTAAGAAAATCCATCAATTACATCTTATAAATTAAATTCCTCGTTAACAATCACCTTACTGCGCCTCATCTTTTACGGCAATGCAAAATTTCTGCAAAAAGCCTCCCACTCCTCGAACACGACAACGATCTGCTCGTATTTACGTAGCGCCAACGCGTGCGTTCCAGCCTCTGGTCCTCCCCCGCTAAACGCGTCGTTCCTTGAATTTCAGAGCCCTGCGAGAAGACATTCTGCGCCCTGGGCATGAGCTGCGTCGTCTCGGAGAACGGCCAGGCGATGTGCCAGTGCCCGGCCGCCTGTCCCGAGAGCCACAACCCCGTCTGCGGCAACGACGGTGTCACCTACGCGAACCACTGCCAGCTGCGACGGACGAGCTGCCAGAAGCGCAAGGACACGCGGTTCAAGCACCAAGGACCCTGTGGTGAGTCCAGCCGCAGACCTTTGCTTGCCTTTGTCGCGCTGTTGGCCGGCGGCGGTTGAGCAACGCTCGGCCACTTTTCGCCAGCTTCTTGCTCCTTTGTGGCTTATTAATCGTCAAGGGCACTCGATTGACTCGTTTTATTTACAATTTACACTCGCGGCGTTCACGACATGGGGCAGATTTTTCGGAAGTTGCTTATCGATCTATCGACCTTGTTTGCACGCCAATTAATGGCGGCTAGCTACTGCTTAACCAATTGCAGTGGGTCGAACAACATTATACACTGAATAAACATTTACGATTACTTTCCTGTATAGTTTAGTGTTTGCTATTTCTAAAACGGGAGTATTTATACGTAAATAAGATTATATAAAATGTCGATAGAGTCAATACATAACTATACCTATATATTGAAAAATGGAGGCCGATAAAATGGATATCTTACTTGCATTGAAATATAAGTTCTATATCATCACACCGTCGGCTAATCTATTATTGCGAAGAAAGAAAAAAATTTTTTAATTTACTTTACACTGATTGATTTTCTTCGCTTGCTATTCAAGCGTAATTCACATAAATAAAATAATTCTATTCAAACAGATTTCAATAATTTTGCAATAACAAGATATGAATTAATTCAATATATTTCACATTAAAGTAATATAAAAAGTATTTTTAATGGATAATAGGTGGTAATGTATATAATGAGATGTTAATAATCTTTGTTGTCAATTATATGAAAATAATTTTTCCCACTAAACTTGAATTATAAGTGTAGGAAAATTATAGCAAGTAATTTTAGTTAAAAACATAATAAATAAATACAAATTTCCCTTTGTTTTTTCGCGATTCTTCCTCATAAACTTTTTTAATTTCACATTGTTTTTCAATGCTGATGCAGAACAAGCGAGTTTCCGAAAAAAATTATATAGGAACATTTTTTAAATTGAAACTTTCATTTATAGTGTTACTCAACCGTCCAACATAAACCAATTTTTTTTTGTTTTTTGTTTTTTTTTTAAATATTAATCAAATAAATATCTATAAAATCATCAATATACAACTAAGAGATAAATACTTTAAAACATAAGTTAATTATTATTATTATTATAAATACTAATAAAAAAAAAAATAAAAAAAAAACTTAATATAACAATTTAAACTTTTAAAAACTTGAATTTTTTAATAATTAAAACTAATCAGTTTTATGAAATTTATTTAAATTTAATATATTGTAAAAATAAGTAAATACTATACATATATATAGTTTAAAATTTTTTAAGGCAACAACAGTATATGGTAAGTTAAATTTTAAATTATATGACAGAAATTCCCATACATAAATTATATGGATATCCAAGGACAAAACTATACCATCTTTTTAAGGAATAAAATATTTAATATATGTATATTTACATCGATTGTTCAAATTTGAAAAAAAAAAGACTATATTACATAAGTTATAAATTTTGCAATACGATTTACATAAATAAATTGTTATCTTTTTTTAAATGGATTGTAAAAAGTAATTTAATCATAATTTTCGCCTATCCACTGATAAGTAGCAGATATCAGATCAATTTGAAAAAAGTGCATTACATAACAATCAAATAACATAAGCTTCAGTTATTCAATTAACAGTGATAAATATATATATATATATATATATATATATATATATAATATTGTAGTATATGTAATATATATTGTTATTGTTATGAGCTTGATTACTTATTAATATATTTTTATATTTTAAGTCTCGTATTTTTAAATTAATATAATTGTTTAAAAAAAAAAAAAAAAAAAAAAAAAAAAATAATTCATTATTCTGGGAGGCCATTATACATTGAAAAGTCAGTTTATAAAAAAAGACGAGAAATTTTCATTGTATATGTAAACTAATAACATATTATTAAGGAAAAAATATTAGTAAAATAATTGTAGCCTTTTTTTATGAACAAATAACAACAAATTTCGTGAAAAAAAAATACAAATAAAACCAAATAATAATTCAAAGGAGAGTGTATGGTAAAACAGATAAAAAATATCGTGATAATTTTGAGTATAAGCAATAACAATAGAGAAGGAGTTAAAATAGCGAAAGATCTGGTGGGTCGAGGGGAAGAGAGAGAGAGAGAGAGAGAGAGAGAGAGAGAAGACAAGAATAGAGGGTAGAAAAAGCTTTACGATCAACACGACAGAGTCCTGGTGCTCGGCTTGCACTGTTCTTCGAACTACTCTACATTTTTATAAACCGAAAAATATCGCTTTGGCTTGCGTGCTGTTGGAAAACTTTGCTTTTTTATGGGAATAAAGGAATAATTTATCGTTTTGCTCGGTTTTACGGTGCGCGACGTTACAAGCTGAGCGAGTAGAGCAAAGCACGACCCAACGTGAATTTGACATTGTAAAAGAAATTAATTGGATTTCCTACTGCCCGGTAATGTTATTCAATTTTACGCATACATTAAAAAAAAAAAAAAAAAAAAAAAAAAAAAAAAAAAAAAATTCATTTTCTGGATTTCAAATTCCGTTTAATTATGTACTGTAGTCGGTATTTAAAATAGTATGTGTGCGCGAGCGCGCGCTTGTGTGGCTGTGTGTTTGCCCATGTGTAGAATAAATTATTATGTTGACTTAGCGATTGAAAATTTTAACGGTAAATTATTTATTAAAATTAAAAAATGTGTGATTTGTTTTAAAGCCATAGAACTGGTTAACCTGTAATTTGTACTATATATTTTTTTAAAAATAATATTCATTTCGAGATAAGCAATTTTTAAAAATAAATTTGTTTGATACTGCTTTACTGCATAGTAACATAGATATGTAAATTTTAGATGGTCTGTTTTGTTATTTAAATTATATCGGATAGCATCTTTTCCAGCAGGTGTTTTTCAAGAATAAATCGATAAATTTTATTACTCATAAAAAGAATTCAAAATTACTTATTAGGTTAATTTATTAGAAGTATGGTAATTTAAGAGAAAAGTAGAATTATGCCCGCTAAATTATAACTTTGAAGTATTAAGTCGAGAAAATCATGTGTATATTGTATTAATAAATATATTGAATCGGATATATTGAGTTTGCAATGAAAAATTGAAAGACAAATTTCATTGACGAAATTTTAAGTTTTTTTTTTTTTTTTTTTTTTTTTTTTTTAAATCAACGATACTACTATCGAATAACATCGAGTCCAAGAAAAACATACTTAACTGCTCAAACTCTAAAAGAGACATATCACGATATAACACATAATATGAAAAACCATATTGAAACATAAATGACGTAAAAAGGTGAAAAAGAAGAAAAAATAATGTTCAATTTCGTACGTAAACCTCTCACTGAGAGTGTTTTTCAGTTTCGTCTCTACAGAATATATTGGATAATATTAACGATGTGGTTGCAAGAGAAGGTAATTTATTTGAAAAATGACGGCACGTACGTATCTTAGTTGGTACTGCCAAATATCTTGATAGAGAATCACGGCTGAATAGGTGCTCTACTTGGTAAAAGATAGGAAAATATAACTTGCATCGGTGGACACGTAGAGACGTGTTAGTAAAGTATGTGCATAAATATGAAATTCTAAAGTGAAATTAATGGGAGTTGAACTGTGGAATTACGTGAAAAGCGTAGGTCACTGTAATTTCATCATGATTTAAATTTTTGTATAATTAATGCTCAATGGACTATTGATTTATCATGATTAAATCGTTGATTGTAGTGTTTTACATTAAACAGATGATTCATTTTTAAATTCTTACTTTAAATTTAGGAATAGGATATTTAGTGTAAAAAATCTTATTAGCAAAATTTATGCTGCGCTATCAATCATTAATCATTAATCATTAGTAATAATAATAATAATCAATCAATCAATCAATCATTGCTCCATAATGTATTAACGAAATAATTAATAAAAACAATTAAAAATGAGAGTAACTCTTAATGTTAAAAGGTCATAGTGTTAGGTATATTTGAAAGGACATGTTTCATTTTAAGTTTGAATATTGTTCAAGTAATTAAAGTTTAAATTACCTGTATGAAACAAAGCATGTTGCACTTTTTTTTTTTTAAATACACATATTTCAATGACTTTAACATTTGTATTATTATAAAAATTTGTTCATACAAAATACCTTATTAGATATGCAAACTGAAAAATCTTGATTATCTGAAATAAATTAACTACCTTACATAAAGGATCTGCTTTAGCATTTTCTCTGGCAATATATATTCATTGTTTTACTTAATGAGTTTTATGCCTGTAATTTCATACACTATTGGTTTTTAGCACTGTCACTATAACATTACTAGTTTTCAGATTACGGAAACAACATATTGAAGTTTTTATAAATTTTATTATTATCCATTACTATAATTTTTATGAAATAAATCAGTGAAACGAATTTGCTTCATTTACTTTTGATTATTAAATTAATATATCGATACGCGTTTATGTGTATGTTAATTGGTAGCTACATATATGTATGCTTAAATGCTTACATACATTGTTGGATGTATCCATGTATGCGTGTATATGTGCAAGTGTCGTGCGTGTTACCTGTAAATTGCTAGAAAAGGAGGAAATTAGTATACATAGATGAGACTCTAGTAGCGAGCAAGTCGCACCTTCCATAAATAAAGTAAATAATGTATAATATCATTTACATAATCGTTGTATAATTTTGTTCTTATAAAACAGAAAATAATGTATGAACTGCATATTAAGTTATTCATCTCCCAAAATATCTAAAATAAATAATAAAATATTTAATATTTTTCTTTTCCTTCCAGTTTAGTTCAGTAAATATTATTTTCAGACAAAAATTTCATTCCATGACTTTATAGAGTTTTGTAATCATAGTATTTTCTGCTCTCTATTAGCCTTTTTCCTCTCTCCTATAAACTAAGTCATCATATATATATATATATATTTACAACAAAAGCAAGTGTATATATATATATATATATGAATCTGTGTACATATCGTTATAAACAAATATGCTCAAGTACGAACTTTTCGAACACGTATATATCGACAATGAATAAGGCTAGCAAAATCACGATAATTCGATCATTTATTCACGTTAGCTTAGCTCGTATGTCAGGATTGTTTAAGCACTAAACATTTTATATGCTTTTACA